CCACATCGATACGAGAGACGAACGCAATTAAAGTCAGTAATTTCATTATTATCTTATAGTGTGGTATTATCGGCTCCTTCTCGGGTATTTGTCGGGTCGCGGTATGTAATTAGCACTTTATGTCGGACACAGATGGTATGCCAGATGTAATCTTAAACGTATAAACGTATGTGGAATGCAAGTATTTAATAATAGCTATTTCCAGCGGCTTCGTCCACCTGAATCGGTAAATACATCAAGTATCATCAAGTAAAAGTATATATATATATATATATATATATATATATATATATATATATATATATATATATATATATATATATATATATATATATATATATATATATATATATATATTCTTTGCGGAATAAGTTCCTGCTTGTTGTAAATTTAAATCTATCTATATCTAGACATAGGACTGACTACGCTTCCTACATTTATATCGATGTCCATATTTTATAAGAGCTATATCCACTCGTTTACTTTACGTAGTAATGAAAAAAAGAATAGAACCATTCAAATATTCTATTCCAGCAATAATAGTTTTTAAAAAAAAAATTAATTGAACAATCAGCAAATATGAATGGCCTTTCAAATAAACATCACCCGCAAATGGGCAACACAATTCATCTAATAATTACTTTTTGCATGATTCATTGATATAACGTGTATTAGACCTAGTTAATAATAATTTCTCACACCAGTTAACCTGATGTCTTCCAGCAAATGAAGATTTATACTGTGCCATTAAACATGCGGTAGTTATTGTTGTAATTTTCTCATATACTCGTACTCTGTCTTACGGTGAAAATGTGATCAATCGACACTTTCACTACTGTTGCTAATTATTTTTTTATTATTGTATCAAGCTTTAATTGTCCACTGCTCAACATAGATCTCCCTCATAAGGGGGGGTTTAATGGATGATAATAAAATGGTAACCCCGTCTATACTATCGGTATACGCTGGTGGGGCACCAATGAGAGATGATATGTAAGAATGAAAAGGCAGGCCAGTTAGCCCATCGTGACGAATTCAACGATAAATTAGTCACGATAGTTTTCGCATGGAGATTTACTTAATAAGGTATATTGATAGAAATGGGGACTAACCTTCCATTACTAACAATTCCTTCTCACCCTATAATTGGTTTTGTCAGTAATTGCCACGGTTTGCAGGCGGGTTGACAATTGCAGGCTTTGGTAATGTTTTAAGAGGGACACTGCGGTCCATCCCTTGTCCGTTAAGTTCTCTTAAACGCCTTTTACAACACTCACGGCAAAGGAAGGAGTGCCTTATTCTACGCCGAGACCAAACGGCATTTGCTGTTGATACATAGATTAAATTATATATATTTTTATATTTTTCTAGCTCGTATGAGCTAGGCAGAGAGGTTTGAGTTCCGAAGCCTATATCCTCACATACATCTCTTACAAAGTCTAAGCATCTCATGTATACGAGTATATGCCGGTTTTAGAATTTATTAATTTCTCCCTCAATTCAGGACGATTAATACCGAGTTTAACATTAAAATAAATAATTGTTAAAAAAATTAATAGGCTAAATACAATTTGGTCAGAAAACACTTTTAGGGTATGTGTTTATCATACTAATAAATATTATATATATCAAAAATATCATATTATCATATCATATTATCATATCACATTAAATAATATTTTTCTCTTTTATATATGTATATAAAATCAATTACGATTCGTTAGTCATACTTAAATTTATTTAACTCATGAAGTGTTTGATAGATTTTTTTTGTTTTGTTATTTCAACAGTCAAAAAACTCCTGATGTTTAGCTAGAAAATTGAAAGATTAAAATACGTAATTTTGTATAGGTACACTATTAGCTACTTCGAATTTCTTTTAATAGATAACGTTTTAAGGTTATATAAAATTTACCTGATCATTTAGTCACTATTATGTAACTTAAACAAATAAAGAAAATAATATTAAGGTTTTCTTAAAAAAAGTCGTATAAGCATTCAGGTTTTCCGCTATGTTTTCGTGCACGGGAATGGTAATTGCTGTTGAAACTCAGATCCTTTTAGTCTTGCTCGTACACGTAGAATTTTGCATAAGTGCATCCCGTTTAGTGAATTCCTTGTTCGCGCGTGGGAACGAAATGCACCCGCGCCGTTCCTGGAAAGTACGCGCGCGATGCATCAAATCGCCCTCTTAACAAAGATCGCCTAATTATGGACAAGACATGTGAAATTATAGTATACGTAATATTATAAATGACTAGTGAATGAGTAGATATGCCAAGTATGTATTTTAGCAATTTAAATGCCTACTTACCTCTTTCTAGTCATATACGTTTATAGATAATTATAATAAAATCTGTATTTTTCTGAAATATCAAATATATATGTGAAATAATTAAATAATCTTTGACTATATTTTTTAAATAGAAAAACCATGATGATGCTATGCTTATGCTTCAACATGTCTATTATATTTATTATATTATATTTTACATATTTTTATATTCAGTTCAGTTATGCATAATTTATTCCTAATGGACAGAAATTCAGTTTATGATCTATGATCTAGTAAAAAATGTAACTAGGATTGTCTATGATTATTTAAATTAATTATTCTTAACATTATGTTTGTGTACAATAAAGAATAAAGAATTTTCTCTCTTCCGTTCATTCATTTTTATCCTGGTAATTACCATTAATTAAACATAGCCTGGTCACGTGAATGAAGTCGCGGGTAAATAAGTAAAAATAACAATAATGTTATTCGCCAGTTCTGTTAAATATTATTCTTTGGCCACTCTACACCTTTCACGACAATCATCCAATTTTGAAGTAAACGTTTCTTTCAAAATTATCTTTTGCATGTTTATTATATTTACACTACAATCTTTTAAGGATACTTGTCATTATACGTCTTTTGAGAACTATACGAGTAAAAACATTTCTTTATGACATATTATTTAGTTTAAAATCGATCGCAAATATTAAAAAGTCATCTTGCATCAAAGTGAGCAAACGTTACGTATAAGTTGATTTTGTTCTACCGTCGCACGAATATATTAATAGAGTCGAAAAATATTTGAATTTCGATTCTAGTGATCGCAATAAAAGCAGTGACTTACGAGCTACTTTTTCTTTCAAACCTTTTCAAAATATATATGCTTTAAACAATGTTTTTACTGTGAAAATATATTTAAAAATCTATTTGTTATATACACGTGCAAATATCATTGCAATTAGTCATTTACGTTTAGACAGGCGAATGGATTTGATAACTTTTTTTTATACCACTGAGGTGGAAAACTGCTTATTTTCCACCTCAGCACCGACAAGAGGAAACTAGAAAGAACCAGAGAAAAAAAAAACCGTATACAAAGTTACCGTAACGTGGTACTCCGGTGAACTATGTTATGAATTAATAGATATGGAATTTTTTTACATAAATTCTGACAGCAAACCTCTAGAACAAAAATAGTATTATAAAATATATTTAGGCTATATAATTAATTTTAAATAGCTAATAAATTTAAATGTTTAATATACAAATTGCCTATATTTTAGAATAACATCATATTTTTATACCAATTTCAATAAACAAAGCCGCTGGTCATAGCCAGACCATAATATTTTCTCTCATATAAAAAGTAATAACAAATGATGACCACTTAAAAAATCATTACATTTAACACGGCAGCGATAAAATCTGACAATGACATTGTTCTTTCGGTAACGAAACATAAGTGTTGTGTTATAATAAATTCATTTGTTAAATAAACTGTTATTAATAGATCGTAAATGTTTTTAAACAATAACAGCGAGAATAACAAGCGTCGTAAAATCGTAACTGGTGAGGTTTTACGACGGAGGCGGTATATCAATTTGAGCGCACAGTAGGTATCTTGATTGTATTTTCTTCAGTGTATTGTTCGATCAGATGATTAATTCGTGTTTCATTATTATGATTTACTAGTTGCATCCCGCGGTTTTGCACCCGTGATTTAAGATAAAAGTATCTCAGTTGTTAGTCTAGGACAGTGGTTCTAAATGAGGGACCTTTGACGAAATTTCTAATTTCTGAACCGCCAATTGTTTTGACTACAAGTAGAAAATGTAAATAAAGGATTAAAATATCTATTTCATAAATAAAACACACATACATTTGTATACATTTCAATGTGCATAAAAGAATAGTTAAATAAATAAATAATGCATTTATTGTTCAAAATGTAGAACTCACTGCACAACTCTTGTGTTGTATTGACTCATTGACACTTTTAATTTTTTTCGCGTGTTTTTTTATGTTTTATTAAACTGGGTGTTATTTTGCAGAAGTCCATATTACTAGTTGGTAGATTAAAATTATTTTGTTTAATTTCATTACCAACATTTAACGATTGACATTTATTATTATTAGAAAAAGTTTACGTCCTTTAATATTCAATATTAGCATTAAGATTAGCATGAATATTTATTCTTTATTGGCAATATTTTATAGAAAAATATATAGTACTTAAAGTAGACTTAATCTAAACTGATATTATATTATAAAAAAAAAGATTTTTTGTTTGTTATGGACAAATCCTCGAAAAGTATTTAAACGATTTTAAATATTCTTTCACCTATAGAATGCAATGTTATATTTAAACTGTCAATTTATTAATATAAATCTATAGTCGCTATTATCCTTATGTTTATAATAGTGAATGTTATGCATAGTAGTTATTGGAGTACAAATTTGATGTTGTCTCATGTAAAATTTATTTTATTAGTATATTGATTTGTATTCTTAATTCTTGTTATTTTTTATGCTTTACCATAAATAAATAGAAAGCAACATTGTCAGTTAGTAACATGGGCTGTGTTTTATTTAAAATAAATATTAAATAACTTCTACTCATTTATTCGAGCGAAGCCGAAGTGGGTCGCTAGTATTAATAATAGTATTATTTGCCAGTGGGACATATCTAGTTATATAAACAATTTGTATTGTTTTGTTACAGCCAAGAGCGCGGGCCGGCGAACTGTGGCCGGTGGACCGGCCCGACGGCATGCCAGTCATACAGTCGTTGGAGGTGATGTGCGGCAAGGACCATATGGATGTGCATCTCACGTTCTCACATCCCTTCGAGGGTATCGTGTCTTCAAAAGGTGAGAATTTAAAATTAACTCTGATTAGAAATTAGTTTTAAAACTGTAATTAGTAAATTATAAAGCTGATTTGAATTGTTTTTATATCATACTAGGCTAGGCCTAGTATCAAGCACCTACAAATTCCTGTACAAAATTCTATATCTATTATAGAAGAAAATTTTATACACACCTGTATAGTCAAATCTATAATGACAGGGGAAAGGAATTAAAAATGGGGTCTAACTCCCCCATTGTTAGCAATACACACTATCAGGTCGATCTCCACGCGGTTCCCCTTGGAAACCATCGTGGTTAATTCTAGTGAAATTCATCAGGATGAGCTAACTGACCTGCTTTCATCGTCACCTATCATTCCTCACTAGTGCCTCGCCAGCGTATACCAATAGCGCAGGCGGGGTTACAATTTCATTATCACTCATCAAAAAAAAAATCTATAATGATAACAATTTAACTAGGAGAAAAAACTCGTTTTGTACAATTAATAACATAGAAGTAATTTGTTTAATTCTATGTTAATTCATCATGAGATTGTAAAGTTGTTAAATACATTAAACAATTGTCCTCTACATAAATGGTATTAGGGTGTTGCAAATTACATATATAATTATCAATCATACGAAGAATATAGTTTTGTATAAATTCCTGATTAAACTGTACGTCCTCAGTTGTTATAGTATAATAATAATTGTTTGAGGAGAATAAGTTTTTAAATCCATTGTACATACTAGAATAATTGTAGCGGAGTACTTGCAAACAGAAACCCCACAGACTTGTTATTATTTGTATTTATTTTTGTTTATAATTTTTAAGTTTATTTCTATTACAAATTCTAGTCCCATTTCGCGTAACAAATTCACAAATTATTCTTTTCAGTAATTAACAAAAGCGTTTTCAAATTCAAATCAGCCCGTGCTTTCGTTTTCACTGGCGTTATAAATAAGAGCCTAATTTTCTACACTTTCGCTCATGCAACATATACATTCAGTTTTTATTTCAGTATTAATTGTTTTAAATATAATTTAATGTGATGTTAGTATAAAAATAAAAGTGAATTATAAACTATTATTTATTTATTATGTTCATTACTATATTTCATACTCATGAAAGTACTCGTATGTATTAAAATAAAATATTAATTTGAATTTTAAACTGTATTACAATGAGATACAGTTTTATTAGAGTGTGTGTTTTAATAGTAAGTGACCCATGTATATACACATTTCCCGTGTGGTCCCGGTGTAGAATAGGCCATCTTATTCCCGTAGGCATCGTAAGTGCGACTAAGGGAAGACGAGGGATAGGCAGTAATTAATTGTGTATTAACTAATTGCGTTTGCCAATCCGCCTGCCAAACGTGGAACTACTGGCAAAACTCTTAGGAGAAAGTTTATGTTCAGCAGTGAACAGTTAGAGGGCTGATATTTTAAAGATTGAAACTAGTATAAAACTGAAAAAAAAAAGAAAATTAGTATAAAACCAACAAAAGAACAAAATTAAAAAGTGTTGCTTTTTAATGAGTACACACAAATATCATTGTATTGAAAAAATCCTCTTCTTTTAATTAGACGGTTGATGATAAAAAAAAAATGTGTTAAGATAAAAAAGTGATAACATTCATCTTTGTGACTTGAGAACATATTTTATCATATCTGATAAACAAAACATTACTCTCGTTTTAGTGGCATACACCTGTAAGGGTCAGTAACGTCAAAGTTATGTTTTTCAACTGTACCTGCCACATAAATGAATAATTATGTTTTACTGTATTTTTAAACAATAAATTTGAGCTAATACTACCCATGGTAATCAATATCAAAATCCATAAAAAGTTAACATTTTTCTTAATCGTTTTATTAATAGTAAAATGATTGCTTAATGAAGAATTTCATCGACGAAATGTAGGATCGAAAAAATCATGGAACTCAATTATAATTCGAGTTAGCCATTTTATATTTTAAATTTGTTGTCCTGAAAGTAGTCCTGTCTCAATAAATTTAAATTTAAAATTAGCTAGATCGGCTCAGCAGTTCTCAGGCATACTGACGAACAATACTGGGTATATCTGATATCCCTATACATGTAAATAACTAATAGTATATTGTATTATTACTAAATACTTATTTGATTTTGTTGTATTGTATTTTATTATAATTTGTACTCAAAATTATTATGTATGTATATATATTTTTAAATTGCCGATTTATATGTAAACACACAAACATTCTCAATTAATGTAGTTAGAAATCTTCATAGGATGTTAAAGTTGTAAAATATGAAATAATTGATTTCGGATAAGTGAGAAATGAGAATTAGTTGGCTTACGAAGAACATATTCTTGGACTAAGATATCATAAAGTACAGCTCTAAAAATATTCATGATGCGTCTATGTGAGTAATTGCCTAATAGGGTTGAATCAACATTTGTGTGTTTCTAGAAACCAGACACCGTTAGTACCTATATAAAACCTACATACCTACTGACATTCTCTGATAAAAAGATTCAGTATGTACCCCTAACGAACTGTATCTTCACGCCGCAGTGCCGGACGTCATTCAGACCGTTTCTAATTGCACACAATAATTGCCAAGGTTTCACTTACAATTATGACGGTACATACTGAATTATTAATACTAACATGGCCCAGTTAGCACTTAGTGGAGATATGTTCACATTATTAATTTGATTCTGTAATAAAAGCAGTTTGAACTGTTATGGGGTGAATTAAAAATATATATTTCGTGTATAATGACACTATAGAAGCACATAATGACAGTAATAAATATTTACTTATTACTTTTTTTCTTAAGGCTTGCATAGACGAGTGACAGTTCTGTGTTCTTAATTATTATTATTTTCTAATATAGAGAACGCGCGATTTTTCATATATGTAATAAGCAATTCTATTTTTTTCATCTATTCTTATCTATTTTATTTTTTTTATATATTATTGTTAATTAATTTTGGCTACAAATATAAATAGCTTTATTTTGTTTGAAAAAATTAAGTTATATAATATTTAAATAGAGATTCAAATAATATTACATTTAAAAAAAAATTATTAAAATTATATATATTTTGGCTAATATTATAAGCTAAACTATAGTTGTCCGTAGTTGGCATGCTTAGCAGGCGGGTTGGCAACTGCAGTTAGGTTTTAACGATGTTTGAAGAGAGATACTTCTATCCATCCCTCGACTATTAAATTATCTTAGTCGTCTCTTACGACACCCGGGAACGGGAAAGGGAGGGTGACCCATTCTACGTCGTAACCAAACAATTGTCGCATTAATATAATTATATACACTGTATATGCATAAAATATATGGAAAAATATTGATTGGTTGACTGGGAGAAAAATCTATATAGCATTAAGTCCGCCATTTGTACAAGACATTTTTTGTAATGTGGTCAGTAACGAAGAAATAAATAAAAAAAATATTTAATTAGTTTATTTTCATTAGGATTTAATGATTAGGTAAAGAAGTTAAAAATACATGTGACATTAAGAGCAAACGGCAAACGTTTCACCACAGACACCATGTAGTAAAATGTAAGCTACTTTGATTTGTTTGTTGAGAAAAGGAAATTACTAACTAGCTAGTACCTGCATAAGTCCGCACTTCTACCACTCATTAACGTCTTCCTACAAAACGTAGCCCTCCCCTCATTAGAGAAAGATATTAGCGTATTATTAGCGTACACGCTAGCCTAGAGCATAGGGTTTTGTTTCAAGTTTTCCTTTTACATCCTACTGCGATTATAGATACAAGTTTGTAGAGATAGATGAATATTTGTTACTCTTTTAAACAAAAACTCTGAATGTTTTTCTATGAAATTCGGTACACGGATACTAACTTAGTATATAAGATACTTTAAAGTATACTGATTCTTGTAGCTGAAGCAGCTGTATATAGCTAGTATATGTATAATGCTGTTTGTGTGAGATATTGTTTATACATGTAACAATTTTCATTCCAATTTCCTCAGTTCTTTAAGCATCATTCAGTAGAATAAATATCTTTAGTTACAAATTTTCATATTTGTCGTATGTACTAGGTATATTGGGCAGCTTAAATTACTCGAATTAGCATATAAAATTTTTCATATGTTAACCTTAAATAAATCAGATGAGTGACAAATAATGAAACTAATGTTAATAATTTTTTTACTTCAAACTTTCATACATAGACTCACATTATACATGCGCGAAAACACAGTACAATAATGTTACTATCTTTCCCGTATTTAAATTGATCTAAGTAAATTCTAAAAACTGGAACGCAATGATTGTACATTCACACAGTTTTCAATGTAGACGTTACGCTTGAATGAACTGCACTAAAATAAAAAATAAAAAACAAACAATTTGAATGACAGACGCATTTGTTCAGAAAATTATCTTGTCATTCATAAGTTGGGTTTTTGTATGGAAACTAACAGCCAGTTATTATAGTTCAATAAAAGGGTATTGCGGCTGATAAAAAGCCAACTGCACTCCGTAAGTGCCGTCGCTACCGACAAAACCAAAGTTCCCAACCATTTGTCAGCAGTCGTCATGTTTTTACACAGAAAGCGTGTAACTATTATTTATTTTGTGCTAGTGTTGACTAATATTGTAAGAATATCGATTAATAATATGGGGCATCGAATAATCGATTATTTTAACAATTAACGACGACTGTACTGAACTGGGACTTTGTACAGAAATTGTCTGCTGTTGTATCTCTTTACAAGGGTTTGTGTTTGCAAGGCTGTATTTCGGTTTGATGAGTGAGATATGACAATGAAATGACGAATTACAGAGACATAACAACTTAATTCTCAGGAATGGCAATGCATGAAGTGTATTATGGGAAACACTCTCTTACTTCCATATTCCATATACATGTTACTTCCATGGAATACCATGGAGTCGTGATAACTATCACCTATAGACATGAATTACTATTTTTACTATTTATCATATATATATATATATATATATATATATATATATATATATATATATATATATATATATATATATATATATTTTCTATCAGGTGAGCCGTCAGCTTATTTGCCATTCCAAGTTGCACAAAAAAACATTACTAAGATAAAAATAATAATAAAATAAATCGATAATACTATTTTGATTTAGCTATTAATATTACCGATATTATTGATAATATAGCTAGATTGACATAACAATTGTTTATCGATCAAAAATCATGAAATTGTAGATATATTAGAGTACATTATATCGATACTATCATTAGAGCGATTAATATAGAGATATTTTAAGATGTAAATTATCGATCCATTAATACTGGATTGTGAAACAACACAATTCTACGATTTAGTAAAAGTGTTACAACATGAACACTATCAATAAAAATATTTTCATACATTAAAATTCTGTCTTTTGAACAAATCAAATAGTTTTCACACATAAGTGATGGAGTAATCTTGACATCGAATTATCATTTTCCAATTATTTCTTCATTCTGTTTTGTTCGTTGCGTGTATTTATTAGGTACTCTTAGTAACAATGTACATATGTGATATATGTCGTCATTATACATCGAAAATACATTTAACGCACAACAAATGACCAAATAAATCGTTTAAAGATTTATCCGAGTAAATTGACACTTACAAATGATGATCATTATAGCCTTAGTTACTTGTTTGTTGCGCAAAATATATTGCAATATATTATAGAGCTTTTCTAATTCCCTTGACAATATTTTCCTGTCTTATTGCGAAAATATAATTATAGTAAATTTATAAGCGACTACATTTTTTTATGGATGATTATGGAATGGCAACTCTCCTGCATTATAGGTCAGTTAGGCCATCGTGACAAATTTCAAAAATAAATTAATCACGAGGGTTTCAAGGGGGAGCCGCGAATAGGTCAACTTGATATTGTTTATTGCTAGCAATGGGGTTGTTAATCCCCATTACTAACAATCCCTTCTTCCTACCAGTGAGTACATTAATAATAATAATAACTATAGTTGGCAACTCGCCTGTCAAGCGTGGCAATTTGGGGAGACCTGTTTTCAACAATGAACGGCTGATGATGATCACATTAAACGTCTGGCCTTTAATCTAGTATACCATGTATTATAAGTAATCAAGTAATATCTGGGGGCACAGATCAAAATACTCAGACCCCAGCTTATTCAGGAAAGTTGCCTTCCCAAATTGGCTTGTCCGAGAATCAACCCAGGACCTCACTTACTTAAAGCAACGCACTCACCACAGCGCCACGGAGATTGTCAAACATTATTATACTTAATTGCGGGATTTATCACTGTACAATCGAGTAGATTACTGAATAATTAAAGCGACGTGGAAAAACGAAGTTTTCTTATAATAAAATTGTTAAGTATTTATCGTAATCATGTTTAACGTATTATTACAGGTATAATTGTTTAATTTTATCATCATTAGTACCTAGTAGCACACACCATATAGTAATATACATAGATATATAAGTTTTTCTCTAAATTCCAACTTCCACTTTGTGGTATTCCACAAATAAAAGGATACTTATGAAGTAACAGTAGCATCATCATCATCATATCAGACCTTAAACTGTCTACTACTGAACTCCTTTTTTAGGGATTTTGTCAGTAGTTGCCACGCTTGGCAAGCGGATTGGCAACTGCAGTTAGGCTTTGGAGATCTTTAGGAAGGACGCTGCTGCCCATCTCTCGCCCTCCCTTAATCGCCTCTTACGACACCCACGGGAAAGGAAAGGATGGCCGGCTGTAGCATAATTGAATACTAATCGGAAAGTTTAGTAATTTTCGTAATAGATGCCGATATAGTTCAAAAATATAATATACGTACGTCTATTTGGTTGTAAAAGAAATTAAAGTAAAAAATAAACATAGATAAAAATTTAATATATATTGCGTTTGTAAATAGTTATATCACATTATACTTCCTTCATTATAGTTTGAACTTCTTACAAATACTGGCAAAGGTTAATTGGGAGACATCTCTATTTAGAGTCAAATCCACCTAATACGGTAAACATACGGTAGGTACACACCTACAGTTTTATACATTACATTTTATATATTATATACAAGTACTATTTTATATATTAGCTCTCCATTTGAGGAATTTTAAACGGACAAACAAATTATTCCTTATCTCTCAATATAAAAATATAAAGATCATGTAATTTATCAAGCGATCATACGTATTACGCATCATAAAGTAGCAGCTTAGAAATCTCTCTTAATTCCCATTAATGCATAATATACGAATAAAATATAGATAGTGAAATTAACTTCGTAATTAGAAAGTAAAATTTAATTGAGTTAATTAGTTAAACGCGTAACAGCAAAATGGAAAAATATTAATGTGTTTTTCTATACTTTAGGCGATTAGTATATAATCTTGATATGTCATTTCATCAAAACAGTAGGGCGTAAAATATGTTTTTGTACTTAGATAAAATAAAATAAAACCGGCTTACTGTCATTTTTTATTTCCAATTATTTGGGTTTTATCTACGTTTTTAGTTCTTCTACGAAGATTTATATTTCAGAATTTTATCACAGCAAATCCATCTTCATAGATCTTTGTTTTCGAACGACATAATCTGATAACAGCCAAAAATCGTTATTTATGGATTAGTAAAATAAAAAAAAGATATCAGACTATCAAATACCTTTGTTCTCATATATGTATGTCTCTTTTTGACTATAGCAGTCACTAACCTAACTAGTAGTAACCAATACCTCTATCATCGCGTTTCAGTCATTGTCTGTCCACTGTTGAGCATAAGCCTTGAGCTTTCCCCATAGGTTGTCATAAGGAGCGGGGCTGGGCAACCGCAGTTAGGTTTTGGAGATGTTTTAAGAGGTACGCTGTTACCCATCCATCGACTATGAAGTTCCCTTAGTCGCCTCTTAAGACACCCACGGAAAGAGAAGGAAGGACTTATTTTCCAAATTAACACAGTACAACCAATATCTCTATGCACTTATTTAATATCAATCTGAAAAGTGAAACAACTTGTTGACAGTCCTTTAAATATGTTGCATACGAAGCAGTCTTATGCATAATTTGTCAGTATGTAATTAAATCAGAAATTACTTTACTAATGAACTGCAAGTAAATAGTTTAGTGGCAGCCCATACCCATACTATCAATTAAAGTGCCGACTCGTGTTGTTTGCGTTTAAACGAGCCATCGCCAGTCTATAATTTGTCAGACAACTTTCCAGGTTTATTACACCACCAAGCTAAACTAGAATTTGTAAAGAAGCGTTTGCACTTAACACTTGTATTACAGTATAAGTTAATACTATGTACAGTAGTTACACTGCTCCTTTCAAAAGCTGACTCCTTAGATAAATAACCATGTTTTTTTTATCTCAAATGTGACCATTCGAAGAAGAAACACACTGCATTCACTCGATACATACACAAATATATGCACGTATTTTTATTGGATGATAATGGAATTGTAAATCCATCTGCGCTGCGGTTTGTTTTTAATCGAAACGAATGAAATGGTAACCCCGTCTGCGCTATTGATATACGCCGGCAGGGATTCAGTGAAAGATTATAAATGAAGGCGAGGACGAAAGTAGTTCAGTTAGCCCCTGGCCTCTTATGAGAAAGATAATTAAAAAATGTCTCTCACAAAAAGAAACCAACATTAATTGTGACAAACCTGTTACTTTAATTTAAAAATTAAACTACTGAACAATTTTGATAAAATTTCTATGGAACAATCTGTAAGTAAATCCTTTTAAACAAAAAAAAAATTCAAATCGGTTTAGAACTGACGAAGTTAATTTGAATGAGATGGCAAACATAAAAAGTAATGTACAACCAAATTGAAAATCTCCTTCTTTTTGAAGTCGGTTGAAATAAATACACTATTTGTTGACTGTATGATGATGTCCGCATCTATCTATTTCTATACTTATTTATTCTAAACTATGTAGCATATGTTAATATGGGATTCAATGTTTTTTCTATATTTTTATGGAAAGTTTGTATGTACTTAACCAACAATTTATACTCATATATATGACGAATTGCTGGTTCTAAACAAATTAATATTAGACAATTTTCACTTTGTACAGTCTCTCATAAGATTAAATGTAACAAACTGTGCTTAAAAATACTTAAATAAGATTGTGCGTATTGTTTTTGCGTAAAACTGTAAAAAAATTAATATTTAAGAAAACATTTTTATTTGATAATTTTATATTTGTACACTCTTTTTTAATATCCTGGTGATTAAAAATACCGAACAATAAAACAAATAAATCAAAATAAGACTGCAAACTTACTGCTACGTTGAGTAATTTGTTAGACAAAGTACGGACGTGTCGTATGTTACATTCGGCAGAAACGGCAATTATATGAGCAGTCATTTGTTGGCAATTCTGCCCTAAGGCTTTTTTTTTTTTATTAAAGTGAATGCAAAGAATGGTTATCCTTATTAAAGATGAGTTTTAAAGGTAATGGGTGCGGAATTAATTCCGCGAGTCTGTATAAACACGGTCACCTATTTCAACAAGATTATTGTTAAGCACTACACCACCGCTATGTTTACGTTACAATGTAACTTGACCCTTCATTAGTGCCTATGCCCGCAGGTCAACACGGTGACCCCAGGTGCGTCTACGTGCCTCCATCTACCGGCCAGACGTACTTCTCGTTTCGGATCGCATACGCCAAGTGTGGCACGAAGCCTGGTAAGTGGTTACTAGATACTAATTTGAAAATCAATCGAGGTTAGCAATTTGCTCAGCAATATTTTCCGTTCAATATCATTACATACGACGGAGAAGTTGCCATGTAATCGATTATATTTGTGCAGTATGTCATGCAGAGAAATGAGTCATGTTTTAAGGGTATTATTGAATGTGAACGTATTAGGATTAAATTATTAATTAATTTAAAGATACGATCACAGTATCAGAGTAAAGTTGAAGTCAGTAGCATGTTTTTTACTTTTACTTGTGGTACTGAATATTCCAAAAGATAAAACGTCGATATACTACAAAAATTATGAACAACCTCTAATTAGATGGCGCGTACAGCTTTTAAGTTTGTATGAGAAGCACAATTTTGTGCTTCATATACAAATTTGTTTGTCGTTATTTTTTGAATAACAAAATTTTTCTTCCACTATATTGTATATTATGTAAACATAGGTAGACTCTTAGTTTTATGAACGGCTAATGACTTTGATTTTACTCTATATATAATAGTACTACAATGAGAATAATTTGACATTTCCTGCCTCTAATATCAAACTAAACAGCCCTTCCTCTCTTTTTTCAAATATGAGCTTTCAGCAAGTACAGCTATGTATTTCACTCCACAAAGAAAATTGGCAGCTTATTAAAATTAATATAAAACCAACAGAAGAGTAGACTTCATCGATTGTAACAATTATTAAAAACAGAACTACACTGTCACACGTAAAATAGCCATAAAAAAAATTATACCAATAGAGAACATATTTCTTTTGTAAATCGTTTTAAAAAGGAACGCTTTGAAAAGGAAAGTTCGCTTCAAGGAATCACGTTTAATTGGAATACGAGTAATATCTATGGTTTGCGATATTTTGTTGTGTATTATCTAGAGATTAGTATGATCAAAGAAAAGAATGATATATGTGAAATATGAGTTTATCAAATTCCCAAAACGTTCAAAAAGTCAAGGTTATTTCAAGAGTCTACAGCATGGGGCACTTCAAAAATATAGTAAAAAGATTCAGGGTCGGCAATGTGCACGTAATGCCCCTGGTATTGCAGGCGTTTGTAGGCTACGGTAACCGTTTATCATCAACTAGACCGTATATTCTTACTTTTTTGCCAATATAGTGGTATAAATAATATTTGTATAATGCATATAAAATATAAGTGAAAGAAGAAAGAACTCGAGTATGGTTGTGCATAATGATCTAGTCTGGAAGGGTAAATCCATTTGTCTCGACCAAAAAAGGAATAAATTAAAATCGCCACCGTAAATTGTTAAAAATTTACAAAAATTATTTGACTAGTATTTGTGACTTTATTACTTCTTCTATTACTTACTGAATTTAATGACTTAACAATTGATATTCTATGACTTTATTGAATTTTTCGCGTGTATTGAAATAAAAATCTACAACTCATTTGGTTACTAAATTTTTTACACATCCGTTAATTTGAAACGTGATCAAGTAACAAACGTCGATAAATCTTAATAAACTTTCACGTTTGTATTATTAATAGGATTGTTTGTTTAAGCTTCAAAGTGTATGTTAACAAATTAACACTATTTGTATTTCTTAGTTGATATACATAATCATTTAGCGTATTTCTTAGTGTGAAATCAATAAATACGATGAGTGCTCAAACACGCGAATTTAAACTATTGGCGATAAATAATACGCTTTACCTACCGTACCGTAATGTAAATCTATTTTTGTGCTGTCTACAGCAATGATTAAGTATAGTTATGTTTATATATAATTTATTAATTGTAGAATATTTAATTCCAACTAGTTTATCACAATGTTGTAAATTTCCTCAATAAAGCCAAATGGTTTTTAATTATTAAATGTGTTTAAAAATCGATGAACACATAAAAAGACTTTACATAGAAAATATTGTGAATAAATTTTAATATTTCCCCCAAATAATAGGATTAGTTTTAAATGATTTTTTTTTATATTTATAAATTCTATACTCTGCTAATAGTAATTTAAATGTTGACAAATTATAATGTGTACCAACATGGGAGTAAACTTTTTATCGATTGATAAAGGATTTGGAAAAGAAATTGCGTAACGTACTTAAGAAAATTTTGTGGGATAGACAATTTTTCAAACTAGTAATAGAAGTAAAGCAATGAATAATGTGCAATAAGAGTGCAATAAATAATGAATTCCGATGCGTTTTGATGGGATGGTGTGATTTGTGAATAGATACTTCAAATCTTTCAACATAATTTAAGATTTTGTATTACAAATAAATTCCGATTTCAATCGTAGCATAACCAGTCATTTAGATTTATAAACTAAACCGCTGGACCGATTTTGATAAAATATCTAAGGAGCTAATCTGAATTTATATCTTAAAAAAAGGAAATTTTCCAAGTCGGTTTAAAATGAGTTAACCAACATAAAAAATACGACTAAAAAAAGAACCTCCTCCTTTTTCGAAATCGATTGATAAAAAGCAGCTTAAAAAGCATTCTTTCAGCGCTGTCGCTAACAGTTCCCGTTCAATGCTATTTAGCTGCTTATAAAACTATCATCAGAAACAATTATTATATTAATCATGACTAACTTGGTCTAACTGCGTCGTGCGATATCTTTAAGGAGTAATTGAAGTGAAAAAGCCAGGAAAAAGCCAATCTGAAGGCCGGCCAGGAAAACTATAATTATGTGTAGTCACATCTACCTAGATTTTCAATAACATAAATCCACATACGACATATCTCGGCGCGGTCTCGGCGGCAAACTCGCAATTACTCTAACTGTTTTATGTCTAAGTTGCCATCCATGACATTTGCTGTTAATTTTCTAACGTCTTTAAAAAGGTTGAGGTTCTTAAGTCGTCTATAGGTATTTTTTCTGTATGAACATTGCAATACATATTGAAATATTGACAATTTTAAAGATCATTTCTTTTTTTATAATTATTAGTATTTACAATTGTGTATAAGAGTAGTTTTAACATTAGATTAAGGATAATTTGTTTTTTTTTTTAATCAAGAAAAATTTTATGTTTACATGAATGTATAAGTCGTTTATTAAGATTCAAATTAGTTGGAGTAGTTGTTTTAGATACAGAATGTCACCACTGTACTTGGGTTTTATAGAAGTATATAGTATTCGTATTATCTATCTATATATACTACCTATCTATCTGTATGTAATAAATTTGTCAGGAAATCGTATATGTACTATAGGTACATAGGTAATAGGTAAATTTATATTTATATATTTATAGGTATAGGTAAGTTTTATTTTAGAAAATTTTAATAATTAAAATAAATAAATTTTAATATCAAAGAATCAAGTTACAAAATAGATAAATTTTTGTTTAACACTGTGTTAACATTAGCAAGCACTACTTTTAATAAGACAATTTGTGGTAGAAATAACAACTTAGTACAGGTATTAATACTAGAAATTTTTTATTCTGAGAAAATATCTCATTTCTATGAGTAAATATAAAAAATAATTCAAGATTGTTTTCTTAATTCTTAAGGGTTTTTACCTTCTTTACATATATCAGCCATATCGTACTCTGAACTGATTATTGAATGCATTCCAATGAAGTTTTGTAGGGAGATGAATACATAATCAGATTGCATTAACAAACATTATTAAACCATCTTTATGTTTGTTGCAGTAGCACTACTTACAGTACTGTATTAAAAGAGGTTAAAGTATTTGGTAGCCTTTTTGTAACAAAGTAAATGCACATTTACTCATTTACAAGTGAAAGAAATCTCCATAAACTTCAAGCTTAACTGTCTAAACTGGACTCCCCAGTGTCAGTGTTGTATAATTTATCTGACAAATGAATAGAAGCTGCGGGATGCGAGGCTGCATTCCCATTGAGCTGTCGTTTCTGTCCATTGATGTTGGATGTGATGTAGTGTACAATTTACACCCCACAAGTGCCGTTTTACATCAAGTCAGTTACTGAGTCTAAAGTTCAAATTCGAGATAGGTCATCACTAATCTACTACTGCAATAGTGTCCATTGGTTTTGACTCGATACAACACTGTCGCGTGAAAGATTCTAGTTGTATATTAAAATTTTCGAAGTCGATGAAAATAATGAATAGTAATTATATTATTTTTATAAAATTGGGGTTTTATTTAATGACATGTCAATCTGTCATTTGTCTGTGACATGAAAATAATTTAAGTGTTTCATGCTAAAACTAAACCGATAATTAGTAATCATGTTATTTACGAAATAGTATAACTTTATAAGAGAAAACAAATTTAAATTTCTTAGTAATTATTTCAGTAGAAGGTTACTCCTCATAAGAGCTTCCATATTCAATTAAACTCTACTACTTCAGAAGTCGTCCGAGACAAATAAAGCCATGCTCGTAACAGTAGTATTCGTTAAATATTTTATGTTATTTACTACAGTGTCTTAGAGAAATAGCTTTCAGAGTTTAATGTCAGAACATACCTTTACATCTGACAGTTTCTGAATATAACCTGTAGATAATGGTAAAGGTGCATGGTAAGAGAAAATAGTAAATGTTGTTTGCGAATAATTGTGTTAGTACACCAGTACAGATTATATAATAAATAAAATAAATATGTATGTATTACGTATATAATTGTGACTATATGATTGATGAGGCAGTCAAAGGCATTTGTCGACTACCGTTGTGGTGAACGTGATACTCGTCATATCCACATTTCGTCTACAATACTATATCAAACGAGGCATGACGTGAGTCTCTCGTGTTACATGATTTGTTAAAAGATATTTTTCATCACTAAAAAGTTAGTTTGGTATAGAGTTTTGTAACATAATCCCTAGTCAGGGCAAGGTTTGTTAAAAATGGGACTAGTCACCTCATTGCTAGCAATGCACTTTATCTGATCCATCTTCACCCAGTGCTCCCTGGAAACCATTGTAGTCTTTTTTTGTACAATATATTCATCACGATGAGCCAACTGATCTACTTTCATGCTTATCATCATCATATAATCTATCAGCGAGGTTATCATTCCATTGTCATTCATTAAAAAATCCATAGCCAAGTCAATGCAGTTGTTAATCTCTTCACTTTAGATTTTAATCTGAAAAATATTTTATAAACTATAACATTCCTCAAGCTTTTGCTTCCTTTTTCGTTTCCTCTTTCCTTCCTTCCTTCTTTTTCATTAAAAGTACCCGTACCGGCGAGCGTGTATGAAAAGATTGATGAATGTGGAAGAAGCAAAAGAGGTTTGTTTGAATCGAAGCATTTGGCGTTCCATTGTTTCTGCCTACCCTAATGGGAGATAGGCGTGACGGATATGTATGTATGTAACATTGCTGTCATTAAAAGATAATTTAGTTTTGAGCTGCATGAATATTTACAGGAAGTTTCTCTTCCTTTCTCTTAGTTTCTCTTTCTTTCTCAGTTTCCCTCCAATTTTTTATTATGTTACTCGATTTTTACAAATCTAAACAGATTTTGATATTCTATTTTTGTAATCGATAACCCTGTCAATTCGTCTTTGTAGATCCCATATCAACTTTGTAATGATAAAGAACAGTTTTTACTGAAACTAAATCTTACTTGATATTCTATCTATGCCCTTAATTAGCAAGGGCGTAGAATAACAAGCAGGATATTCAATCAAGAAAAATGCAATCAAAAGCCACTTTTGTAATTATTTATTTTATCCTTCACAGTTTGTTTAAATGTAGTTTGTTTTAGATTTAAACTTAAGTTGAATATCTAGTACTTAGTATAAACAGGATTCAAAGAGTAAATTTATGTAAATATTAAAAAAATCTGCCTTTTTAAAATTACTTAAAAATAAATTCTTAATCCCGTTTCATTACACACTCTGCCCATATCTTACTCTGTGTACAACACTTTATAAATATAAAACAATTTTGACAAAATTGACCATATTTCTCTTTATATCGTATATTAATTCAATTTTACGCTTGTGAGATAATCGTAAATTCAATTTGGACGGTCAGAAAAATTAAACGTATTCTGAGATGCGACATAACACCGTTTTATTAAGTAATTTAATAGTCAATTAGAAGTTTTTGTTAGCTTGTATTGGTTATGTTTCCGACAAAGTTATAAGGTAAATAAATTTAAACACAATTAGGTTTTAGTTTTTGTTATAATACTCGTATATATTACTAATACATATAATTCTCTAGTAAGAAATACGTATAATGATAAAAGAATACGATATCTAATGGTTTTATAAAATTAGTTTCTGGCGAATAAAAAACAGGAGAATCTTGTATTGTGATTTTATTTTTCCCGTGGTGTATACTTTGAGAGTCTTTGTTGTAATAGACTTACCATAAACTAATATTTATTAACTTTACTAATGAAAAATGCTTAAATTTTACTAATATTATAAAATATCAAAATGAGTTTGTTTGTTACCTCCTGACGCTATAGCTATTCGCTCTGATTTCTTGCAGTAGTAATTAGATTGCACTAGACTGCAACTAACAATGCAATGAAACATTAATAAAAATGCAAAGCGAATGTAATAATTAAGATTGATAATACAATATAAAGTGTTATGTTAAATTATTCTATAATTTATTTTATAATATATTACTATTAGCTGCGACTTCGTCCATGTGACATATAGATTGACCGAAATAGAGTTGCGTTTTTTTTTCATGCCAAATACTACTTAGTACGTTAATCCAAAGTGTCAAGAAACAACAAACAAACTCACTTTCATATTTATAATATTAGTGAGGATAAGCCGTTTAGCTTCTCGGTAAGTACCGGTAATTCTTAACAATTTCGCAATAAATCGCCCCCGACCAAGTTACTGCTCGTCGGTCTCATTTTAACAAAGTAAGTGAGTTTTTCTCGTTCCGATTCCTAGTTGTCCACTATTGCTAGTGTGTATAACGGGCGCATGCGTCCCGCTCCTTCCACGAATGTGTTCTGCTCAGGCATTGTTTCTAAGAATCGCCACCGGCCAGACCGCATAGCGAAGCGTACAAGGCTCATTTTCCTTTGACACTAGATGCCATCTCACAGTGCAACAGTAAACGTATTTCCTTCCCGCTGTAACGAAGTATTTGCAACTTTAAGTGCATTCAGCGAAACGTGTCACATTATACACGGCTCTTGACAATGCGAATTCGATTTTATACCTGAAGAGATAGAAGTTAGACGTATTAGTTGCCAGTCAAAGTTGGAAGATTAATGTCCTAATGGCCGGCAGTTCTGAAAGGGAGTTAGCTAGAAGGCCTCTAAGGGTCAGTTTCGCTTGAGTGACATCGATCGTAAGGCTTCTGGCCCGATCCGCGTTCTTCGGACGACTTCCACTTTTTGCGCAAGTTCATCCGCCTAGGGTATAGCCCTCGCAATAATAAGGATTTTAAAAAATAAACTATAATTTTATTTGTGATTAAATGTTTTTGACAAAAAAAGTAATAAGTAATTATCATATTTATTTTTTCTGTCTACATAATCTACCTAAAATGTTAGTAGCAACATTGAACAAAATCATATAATAAGTATTAATGGCAAAAACTCATGTTACATTGCAGAATTTCTTCTTTTCAGACCTTCACGGGCAGTTCTACGAGAACACAGTGGTGGTGCAATACGATAAAGATCTACTTGAAGTTTGGGACGAGGCGAAAAGACTGCGATGCGAATGGTTCAATGACTATGAAAAGACCGCTTCGAAGCCACCAATGGTGATTGCTGATTTAGACGTGGTGCAGTTGGATTTCAGAGGTGAAATTTTATTATTTCATTTTTATTTCTACTTATTCTTTCGTGCGTGCTAAGCGTGATTGTAGATTCCAGATGGCTGTCTAACGAAGCGATAGCTCTACTACTAATAAGAATATTGACCCCGGTATGATTTAAAATATGGTTCAAATCCTACTTGTTTCGAAATTTGCGATCACCAATAGTCATCGTCGTATCGTCTCCATTATAAGGGTGTTCTTGTCAATAGTTGCCACGCTTGATAGGCAAATTGGTAACTGTAGTTAGACGTTTCGTAATGTTTTTAATAATAGTTCTACCTATAAGTATAGTATATTACATTATTATATAATACCGTTGGTGGTGTAGGAATTTAACTCGCTGCCTTTCTATCCCATGCTCGCAGGTTCAATTCTTGCATAATATAAACATTTGTATTTATCAGTATATGAATATTTTCTATGTATATATATATATGCGTGTGTGTGTGTTTTGGTACTATATAGTATTGTGTAATATGTTTATTGTTATTTATCTACGACCTTATGTATTACACGGCTTTGTTCGCGTAATATATGAAAATGTACCCGTACCAAGTTTTATTCTAATCCGTTCAACAGTTAATGCGTAATTGAGTAACAAACATTCCAACTTTTTTACATACTTTCACATTCTTAATTAGTAGAATTAGACATATTATTACGGTAATTATTAAGAGCACCGGCATGGCGTAGAAAGTGCGGGTTCAAACTCTGTCCGCTTCGAAAACTTTTTTCGAACACAGCAGGTAAATATCAGAATGTGTTTCTGCACATTTATTAATTCTAATTTAATTTCCCTAAACTTATTTATTAAAATTTTAAAGTACAGTGAAATTGTCTGTGTATTTGGCAGATTTAACAGCGGACGGTGTTTTCTGTACCTGCACTACTTATCACTCTGATACGTTCTTTTTTGTCATCTCTTACGACATTTTGGAAATGAAAAGAATTTTTTAACACAATATAAAATGCTTATTTCTTTATCACAAATATAGTGGAAATACAAAGATACCTAATCCCATTAGTATTATGAATGTGCAGATGTTTAAATTTACTATTACTACATCATGCCGGAATAGCTGAACAATTGGTATATCTATAATCCAAATATAAAAAAATATAAAATAAATAGGTTATTTTTATGCTAATTCAAGCGTGTAAAGTCGCGGGATAGACACATATATAAAATATATATATAATATATAATAATATACATATATAATATATATTGACTTGTTTATTTTTTTATCCTTAGGTTTTAACTTTGATTTAAATATTTTATAAATATATCTTTTCTATCCATAGGTTGCCTAGTAAAGGTCGCTTAGCTTAGCTGTAGGTACATTATGTTCATAATTTTTTTTGTTTATAGTTAGTTACCTTAGAATATATAAATAGAGCATCGAGCCTCAAAAACGGATCAACTTATTGTCAAATTAGCTGACTTGTTTTTTTTATCAGTGTTCTATATACTTACGCATAAAATGTATCTTGACTATTAATTATTATTATTTAATGAATAAAAAGAGTTTATGCATTAGAAAGATGTAGAAATTAGAAGACAAAATAAATATAGAAGTTATAAAGGCATCACTCATAACTATTTATCACGAAAAATTTTATGAAAGAGTCGGTCCATTTTTCTCGAAGCATTTCTATGGAGACACTCTGTCTATATTATTTAAATTAGTTACATTAAGATATAATTTGTAGTTGACAATAGATAATATTTGTTTATACTAATATAATGAAGAGGGAAGATTTAATTGTTTTTTGTAATTGATCAATTAAAAAATTACACAAATGATTCTAAAAATATTTTCACTTATAAAAAAATACATTAACAAAGAAATATTCGATCGAAAATGATATAAGCTATATATTATTTTAAAAAAAAATATATTTCCGTTCGAATCTAGACCGGATTGCTACTTATTATTAATATTATAAATAGTAAAACTCATTTATTATTATTTTAGGAGATAACGTCGATTGCTGGATGGAGATACAAGCTGGCAAAGGCCCATGGGCACCTCCTGTGTCCGGCATAGTACCATTAGGATCCACGCTCACGCTTGTCGTCGCTATAAATGACTATAGAGGTAAGTCTTATATTACTTACTTTTGTATTTAAACATTTTAGTCATCGTAGTACTAATAATAATTAGTTGAAATATTAAAAGAGATAAAATTACGAGATAATAATATTTCTTTTCTATACACAGATGATTCAAAAAAATATTTTTTACTTAGATATTTGTTAAATTCGTTTAAAATATAATAAAATTACACATTTAATTGCAAATTTAATGAGAAATCTTTTTATATGTAGTAATAAAATAATATCAAATTTATCTACTGAAGAATGTTCTTTCATACACGTATATCGAAATCAATCCATATTTAATGCTTTAATGAAGATATTTAGAATTAATGGTTTCTGCTGTAGATATGTTATTAACAGCAATACACCTAGTTATAATTATAAATGGTTTATCGAAAGCTGGTGTGAATTACGTCGTGGTATGGTGTTATCCTAACAGTTTGTAATTTTAAACAGGAAGTACTCAAATTTAAGATTAACTATAAGATTGAGCAATTACTTTTTAATTACATATATATATGAGTAAAGTAACAGATCACTCATCTTTCGATGCTTTCAAGAGAAAAGAAACAAATGAATTCGTTGCACTAATTTTAATACGAAATTAACTTATTGAAATTATTTATTTAGTACGTCTCAAATATTTAGATATAATTTACTGTTTAGATATGAATTAGAAACTTAAAAAAAATGTGTATTAGTCTGTAGTCGCCTTCATAAAACATATTAAAAGATAATAAGATTGTATTACACAAAAAAATCGGTTCCAATTGTGACAAAACTAATTATTTAGATATAAAAACTAAATTACTGGCCGGTTTTAATAAAATTTTTATAAAAATCTCTAATATATCCTTTTAGATAAAAAAGAATCTTCCAAATCGGTTTATAACTGACAGAATTATGAAGCAATAAATATACCTACTTTTTTGATGTCGGCTGACAAAAAACTAATACTATTGTAATTTAAATCCTTTAGAAAATACCAGTTTTATTTAAGTTACGTATATCTTGTAGAAATTCTGTATCGTTATGTGACCCAGTTTAAATTGCCTTCCTTAAAGTGTATTTTACAACTAAAAATTCACGCAAATTATATTTAAATGTGACCACTTGCGACATCTATTTAACCCATATCTGTGGCTTGACCGCTTAACTACGGAGCTCATAAATAATATAATTAAACATTCCCTACATCAAATCACATACATACTCATATTTTCCATCTGACTTCATCTGTCCTACATAAAGGACCGTTAGCCTTTTATGACTGTCGATATACGAAATAGGTATTTCATTCAAATTTCTATCAATTTCATCTAATAACATAGTTCATTATGATTATTATAGGATTGTCGGATACCGTTTAGCAACTGTGATTTGACATAGAACTTTATTAACACTTTAATAAGCATTTATAGCTTGGAGAATCGGATGGGCAATATGTCCGGTGTGCAGCAATGTGACACGTCACTTCTCGCTTCTATTAACGAGTTAAAAATGGACATCAACGATAGAGATCAAGATCTTTTATTAAACGATATAGAAATATCTTGTATTTCGGAGCAAAAAGAGGAAAGCCTGTCGCATGTTGTTACGACTCTCGCTGTTAAGCTGGGTGTTAATTTGTCCGATCAGGACATAGTGAGTGCGAGACGTGTGGGACGCATGGCAGAGTCTCTAGAAGTGAGTTCGGAGCGCCCTCGTCCTATTGTGGTACGACTGGCGCGCCGTGCTACCCGTGATCAGCTGCTACAGGCTGCGCGGGTACGCCGCGGTGCCACCACGGAAGGAACAGGGCTGCCGGGCGTACCGCGTCGCTTTTATGTAAATGAGAGGTTGACAAAGGTTAACAGACAACTATTTCGACGCGCACGGACTTTTTGTAATCAGTATAAATGGCGCTACGTGTGGACAAAGGAAGGCAGGATATATGTACGGCAATATCACGATAAAGGTTCTCCACGTTTGCGTTTGCGGACGGACGATGATTTTGTTCGAGTTTTTGGTCCGGAAGCGGTTCGCTCTATTTTTTAAATCTCTACGTTACACATATTTAGTACACTGCTGTAATTACATTTTCTTCGAAATTTCTAAAAATGTACAAAAAACATTATTATTTGTTTATAATCTATATTTTATTGTTATCAGTGTACAAAAGCTTGAGGTAGTGTTAGTTTTATTTCTTTTTTATAGTATTTTGTTACATTTATTGCATGCTTTAGTCAATTTTTTTACAATTTTGGAGTATATTTATTTATTGTTTAATAGCTTGAGTGGTTTTGTATATATTTTCCTTTTTTATACACATTGTACGGCTACTCCGCTATTTACATATAAAAGTAGGGTGAACCAGTGTGTCGCAGTGATAATATCCTATGATCTTGAACCGTTTGTATTGATACTACACATGTACCGATTATTGTTTTTTTACACCTTTTACTTATATTTTAATAGCTTACTATTTTCTTTTTTTTGCAATTATTTTGAAGTATGTGTTGTGTCTATTTATCTACTACTATTTATTACATTAATTAATACAAATTTAACAAAAATATATTTACAAATGTACAATTATGACTTATATATATATGCATGTGTATATGCGATGCCATGATGATGAAAAGTCAATTTTTTAAGTTAGCGCTATATAATGCGGGATCGTTGAACACAGGTCATGATGATTTCATTATTGCAATGAATCGTTTCGAACCGGATATTGTGGCGATAAACGAGACATGGTTGCCGGCAGGCCAGGAGGCGCGTGCCCCCACGGTGCCAGGGTACCGGCTAAGGAACACGCCGCGTCCGCAGTACATGCGTGGCGGTAGAGGGGGTGGTGTAGCTTTTTATGTTAAGCAAGGCATGCGCGTGCGCTATGTAAAGCATCCCAATGGAGGTATTGAGCAGATGTGGCTATCGACAATAGTAAATGGTTATCGTGTTATTGTAGGTACGGCGTATAGACCACAGTGGTTAAACGTAGACTTATTTATTGATGCATTAACCGAATCGGTAACATATTTTTCAAACTATGATCACGTTGTGCTGCTAGGTGATTTTAATATCAATTTACTCGATAGTTCGAATAACAGTGTAATTAAATTCAACCAATTTTTAAGCTGTATGGATCTTAAACAGATAGTGAATGAACCGACACATTTTTCAGTTGGTTCCGATACTTTAATTGATCTTGTATGTACAAATTGTAGGATCCGTGACATTTCTGTCACAAATATTACTGGTTCACTTGGTCATGCGATGATAAATGTTACTCTCACATTAAGAAAATCTAAAATTCCACCTAGATCCGTGACATATAGACCCATAAAAAATATAGACATAAATAAATTTAATGAGGACCTTCTTACACATGATTGGGCATCTGTTTCGTGTATGAGCACGGTTGATGATATGGTCGATAGATTTAATACGCTTATTATGTCCCTTTTCGACAGGCATGCTCCAATAATGACGAGAAAATTCAAACGTCATCAGTCACTTCCTTGGATAACTGATACAATTAAGTGCATGATTGACTTACGCAACAAAGCACATAATAAATATCGTAAGTCTAAATTAGAGAGGGACAAAAAATATTATAAAGACCTCAAAAATACAGTGTCTATGAGTATTGCTGCTGAGAAGAAAGCCTATTATAATCATTATATTAACTCTAATACGAGTAATAGTAAAGTGTTTTGGAAGAATTTGAGGGATAGAATATTAATAGATCCTTGTAAAAGTGATTATCTTCCTGACAGCTTTAACGACCCTAATAGTATTAATAAATATTTTCTAAAAGTACCCGGACCTGAAACAGTCCCTATTTCACAGCTAACCTATTTTGAATTTCATCGGTTTAATACAACGACGCCTAGTTTTAGATTGGAACCTATCAGTTCAAATGATGTTGCCAAGTATATTTTGTCCATACAATCAAACGCAATTGGGACTGATGGTATTAGTCGAGACATGGTTTTGCTTACCCTACCACATACTCTCTCTATTATTACTGATATAATTAACAAATCAATTGTAACAGGTGTGGTTCCTCATCAGTGGAAAAAGGCATTAATTACTCCTCTTCCTAAAGTTGACCATCCAAAGGAATTTAAAGATCTGAGACCTATTAGTATATTGCCTTTTTTATCTAAAATCTTGGAAAAAGCCATATACTTTCAATTATTAAAATACATTGAAGTCAACAAGATACTGCCGCTTTTCCAGTCGGGGTTTCGAAAGGGCAGAGGCACTGTCACAACATTGCTTGATGTGACAGACAACATATTGGCTGCTCAAGATAATGGTCAAGGCTCTATATTAACTTTACTTGATTTTTCCCGCGCATTTGATAGTCTCAATATTTCATTATTACTCTCTAAATTGTCATATTATGGGTTTAATCATCACTCGATTAATTGGTTTAAGAGTTATTTAGGAGAGCGATTTCAGGCGGTTAAATTGCTGAAGGATGATGGTACTTGTATGATATCTTCCCCCAGGTTGGTGAAGCGTGGAGTTCCTCAAGGATCTATACTGGGCCCACTTCTATTTATTATATACAGTGCCGACCTCCCTAATGTTATTAAGAACTGTAACTATCATTGTTATGCGGACGATGTACAACTGTATATATCTAGAAGTCAAATTGGGATATCTAATGCCGTTCAGAAAATGAATGAAGATTTAGATCGCATCGCTGCATGGTCTAATAATAATGCTCTTGTTCTTAATCCTTTAAAATCAAAATATATGGTAATTGGCTCGAAAAATCAAATTGAGAAGGCATCGAATGATAATCTAGTTGTAAAGATCGGTGATACAAATATTGAACATGTTTGCGAGGCAAAGAACCTTGGTGTGCTTTTTGACAGTAATTTACGTTTTGAAAACCATGTGTTGGGTTTGGTCCGGAATTGCTTTTATCGACTTAAAATATTATACAAGATACGAAATTTGTTGTCAGAAAGATCACGAATTACACTCTGTGAATCT